TATTATTATTATTAGCAGCATCATCATCACAATTATTATTCTTATACTTGTGCGCAAAAATACCGGACACACAAGCAAAACGCAAAAGGAAACCAAACGTTTTTTATGATTTTTTTAAAAGAACTTAATGATATCGTTCTGCACAGTAGAGTCTGAAATGAAGTCCTGGAATCATTCGTGGGGAACGCTGACTAAGATGGCCCAAAACAGACAGAGCTGGAGATCCTTTGTTGCTGTCCTAAACGCCAGATGGCGTAATGAGTAGTAAGTAAGTAAGTAATATCGTTCTGAGAGATGGTATCTTGTTTTGTGTCTTTCTTTCTTTCACCATTCTTTTTCTTTTCTTTCTTTCTTTCTATTTATGTATTTAGCGATTTTTAAAAAATTTACTTTTATTTATTTATTTGTTTATTGGGGATGCTTTGTTTCGGAGAGGGGGGAGGGTGGGGGATGAAAGTTGGTTGGTGTATTTAATGGTCACTTGTATCTAAATACGTTTTAGTAATGGTACATTCTCAGACCAGTCTACCGTCAAACGCTATACACTGTGCACTTAAGAGCCTGTGCATGTACCAGGGAGCTTCTTAGAAGGTCTGGTGACATTAGAATTAATAAAAGTGGGGCTGTTAGACTGACGTCACTGGCTACGATAATGAGTTGATAATGGAAAAAGATTGCGCTTTTGCGAAGTATAAAAAAGGAGGGAAGTGTAAAAAGAGAAAAGGTAGGAGACAATGGGGGAGAGGGGTTGGAGGGAAGGGGAGATAGACAAACCGAAAGGCTGATGGAGAACAAGAAAGCTGAACAGAATAAAGAGACCTGTATTTTTTTAATTAAAAAAAAATATTGTAGAATACGCACACAAACACACGCACACATAAACATACACACACAAACACACACACACATATATATACATGTACATGTATTATTAGGGGGCTCTCGTGGCTTACAAGTTAAGGTGTTGGCCTTTCATTCAAAGGTCCAAGGTTCGATTCCGGGTATCGACCGAAAAATTTTCTTCTCTAAAATGTGTCTCCTTTCACCCCCTTTCCTGCTCTCCAGCAATGCTCTGTCGTCTGCTTTCTGCCCCCATCCCTCACCTCCTTTGCCCCCTCCTCTGGGCTCCTGACTCTTTCTGCAGTATTTCTACTGCTACTCCTTGGCTCCTCCTTACTGCTGTCTTTCTGACACACCCCTGATCTTCTGGTAGGAAAGATCTACACCTAGCCTTCTCGGACAAGGGCGAAAAATCTCGGAGGGCCCGTGTGCAAGTTGCCCACATTAAAG